TATATATATATATATATATATATTAAACGTTTATTAAATTTTTCACAGGAGCAGATTTATTTAAGTTTGATTCCATCAATCACTGTGAGGCAGAGGACAGTACAGGAGGGATAGCAGTTTTATGCTGTGAAGAAGTAGTGCATTTCAGTCAGAGACCATACCTAAAATGCACACCCGTACGCCCAAAAAGCGCCTAATTTATTCATTGCGGCGTGCAAGGGACATTCGCGTGAACGAGACGCGACGAGCAAGAAAGAAGCAGGCGAGGGCGACGCAGCAGGCAGCCGCCGGAGACGTCGGCGACCGAGGCAAAAGGCGGCGTGCACGCGCGAGGCGCCTTGAACGTCGCCGTCGCGCGCCAAGGTCGAGCTGTCAGCCAGCGGCGGGCGAAGCGGGGTGAGGAAATGGTGGACGGCGACAAGGCGCTTGAAGAGAGGTCAACGACCCGCGACCAAGAGAAGTCTTTGTAAAAGGGAAAATTGCAAGGGAAATCAAATACTCGACGCATCTTGGTAACATTTTACAACATCATTGTAAGAAAATCAGTAAGTTTTAGAGTTACGCAACTGTGCGTATTTGGTATTAAAGATATTTGGATTAGTTGTTAAATTCACCCCTGTGCCACCGGGTAGTAAATAGTAAGTGAAGTAAAGTTTATGAGAAAGCGGAACGGAGGGAATTCCCAAGATGTTCATATATGCACAAGAGAATGATTCATGCATCGTAAAGAGAGAGAGGTACAATTTTTTCGTTGCGTGCTTTATTTAAGCAACTGAGGGGTTTTCAGAATATTGAACCCAATTCAATTGATTTCTGTGGTCTTGTTTGAATTTTCTCTCAACACCGAAAGGACCCCACTGCCCTGAGGTATCACAAAGCTCGCAAGGCCAAGAGGCATTAAGGAATTCCTAGGCGGGTTTTTCGTCAATACAGGGTGACTACGTTCGTCCCACACACCATGAGAACGCCAGGAGTAGACCGGGTGAGCGAGCAAGGCGCAGTACTGTTGCGCGCTACGCCCGCGGCACATGAAAATGACGTATGAAGCAGCAAGACTGGGGGGAGGGGAGTGGCCGCGCACCACCCCTACACGGAAGGCGCGTGCATAAATGGGCGCACCGACGGTGGTCGCGTTACTTGAGCGCAGCAACGGACGTCGGATAGACGTCTAGATAGCCGTCCGCGAACGTTGTACGTTTTCTGGAAGAAAGATTTCTTCAGACAAAGACGCGGGAAGTGAATCTACGCGTTATTGTGAAGCCGAGGCCAAGTGCAATAGGGAAGTAGTTCCTGCTGAGGTCACGTAAATTTAAATCAGTGGCGAATTTTGGGACAGTGCGAGCGAAAGACACGTACGTACGAGTTCTCGAGTGCGGTGCGAGGAACATTCGCACGTGCGCGTAAATAGAAAAGTCGAGAGGGCCCAAGCAGATGACGAAAGGCGCCAGGAGCACATGACCGGAGGACGACGCGAGGCAGCAAGCACTCCCCGGCGACCAGGGGCCCACGAGCGGCAGCGCGTCAAGGTCAAGCATTGGAGCTCGGAGAACACTGCGACTGGAAGTGACGGTGCGCAAGCGTCACGACCATCAGGGAGAACGTGTCTGCCAGGAAATTGTGAGGGCAATAAGTATACGGGAGGCATCTGAGTATCATTCAATAATTATTGCCATTTAAAGCACTATTGCCTTCTAAACTGTATCTAGATCATTATTCATTTTATGTTGTAGCGGCCACAACGAAGTTGTTCTAGAGAGAGTGGTGCATTTGCACACTTTTATTGTGACTAACGTTATTTGAGAAAAGAATGTTAAACTATATATTTTGTCAGTGTTTAATGTATATAGGAACTGTAACAAATTTAGTTAATCAGAGCAACAAAGGGAACTACCATTGATTATTAGTGTGATTAGTTTAACGAGTAATTTTTACATTATTGAAAAGGGTTCTCAGATTCTTTTGTGTCTCTTTGTTAGTCGGTGTGATTTTTGCAAGCCACGAGAGGGTTTTAAAATTAGTAAACCCAGTTTAACTGATTAATTTGTTCTTGTTATTGGATTGGTTGTCAACACTAGACGAGGAGGAGGAGGACGAGGAAGAGAGGAGGAGGAGGGAGGGAGGAGGAGGGAGGCCGCTCCCAGGTGATCGCCTTTTCTTTCTCATTTCCATGATTTTCTTTGTCTGCCATGCTTCCGTTTGAAGTAGCCATTTTAAAATTTTCTTAGGCAATCGACTTTCCGTCAGCCTTTGAATATGACCATACTATTTGGTACTTTATATAGTATTTTAATGCTATTTTAATGTAAGGTTGATTTTAATTTTTTCTTCTACTCTGACTTAAAATCGAAACTTCTGAACTGTATGTAGATATGCTTTCAACCAGCAATTTGTACATTCTTATCTTTTTCCTTGTAATGTAAAAAGGTTATTTTCTGCATTAAACATTATTTCTCACAAGTATGAATTTGACATAGAACAGTTTAGAATATTGTTAATTGTTCATTTTTACAAAATGCAATATAACTGCAAATGTAAGTAAAATAAAATTTGATTGTGCTTGTTTTGTCCATTTTTACCCAGCTTCGTGCATATTTGGCTATTTGATAGTGCATGTTTGCATGCATATTTTTGCACATGGTAGTGCATGGAAATCTTGTCTCTAAATACAAAAAATTTAAATAGTATCACTGAGCTCACTGAAATCAATCCATCACAATTTAATCAGACGAGTGATGAATGATGAGATGTATGATGAAAAGAGCTAATATTTTTCTTTCTTAATTAATTAAATAATTAATAAAACTACATACCACTTCACAATTTTCTTCTGCACTTGGTTTTCACTGACAGGTGTCTTTGCAAACAATTGTACATGTAACTTGTAAATCCAAAACTGATGTAATTTCCAATGGGGAGTATTCAGTTCCTTCTCCATCTGGCGCCATAAGTCAGCTGACATGATAGTATCCCTAAAATCTTCTATTGAGGAAGCTCCAGAAATATGCATTAAAAGTTTAACAATTTTATTTGCAAATATAATATCCCTTTTGGTATTTGTTTTTTCATAACATCCAGTCGTGTCTAGAACAAAAATTAAGATATAAAAAACACTGGTATTTGATAGGATTTATAAAAGACGTGATTAAAATTTTAAAAATTGCAACCTTTTGGTAATGCTAGCAATCTCTGATATCTTTTATAGATTGTATTTCGAGATCTCCTTAAGATTGATGACAAGAGGGCGTATTTTTCTTTAACATCTGAATTCATAGCTTTTAGAAGAATGTAATCTTCCTCCTCGGTAAACCTGAAAATAGATTTTTTAACAATTAGGTCAGTACTCAACAAAATGACAAAACAATAATATTCCTAATAAGTGGAATATTATATAAAAATTATTGTATATTATTACAACTGGAACGCTATTCTTTATGTTATTAATTATATTGATATTATTAAGATGATATATTATGATGTGATTAAATAATATTGAATATTATTGTCTGAGGCCTTATTTTATTTGGATCATATATTATTCGTGTCTTGTGGCAATTCATTTTGAAGAGAATTCAAAATACAATACGAAAATAAATCAATAAATAAATGAAACTACGGCCTTTGGAGTAAATATCCATACTGTTCCAACATTTATAAAAAAAACAATAGAATTATGGAACAAGCCTAACACATACGCTACCTGCGATGGCACCTGTTAATGATAAGGATGTCCTGAATAAATCTTGTTGTATAGAGTACCATTCACAGAACATTATGCAAGTGTCATTGCAACATTGGTATTACCATGCAGTAATGAAATCTGGACTATAACAAAGAAAACTGAACAATACATACTGACACATCTATCTAGATAAAGGAGTATGAATAAAGAACGGATCATTCGGACTTCAACCGGCTAATATTATCAGCCACATTAGTAAGTGAGCGTGGGGTAAGTAATGAGACGTTCAAGTGTTAGTCGTTAGTTCAAGTGTTGTGTTCACAAGACGTATTTTGGCATTAAAATGTTTACAAAATTATGTATTGCGCCGACACCATGTTGTTTTATCTAATCGAGAAAGTACGAAGACGACTCGAAAGATGGATGCGTCGAGTGAGAGTGAGATAAGGTTTGGTGATATCGTGTTAACAGAAATTTTCAACTGGCGCATTAGAACTCGAATGTACACTCATCTCACAAACCTTAGAAACATTCCATTGTCAGGCTGGTTCCCGTTTGTCACATATCTGCTATTCTCCATCGTCATAACGTTACCTCCAACCTTAGCAACCCTACGTTATCTAATGTCAACCACATGGGACTTAAGTCTGAATTATGCTTCGAAGTTTTCTTTCTTCAGACATTACCCACGTTTTGATAATATGAACATTAATCAATTAATTCTGACCAATCAGATTAACCCTTGCGTTCGGACACTTTCCCAGCTACCGTAATTCGGCCTTTAATTGTTTCATAGTATGTACTGTTCAATTTTCTTTGTTATAGTCCAGATTTCTTTACTGCATGGTAATACTAGTGTTGCAATGACACAATGTTCTGTGAATGGAGCATTATGCAGGAGCTCAGGAGTTGTCATCGTGTGGGGGCTCCAATTCATCCAATTTTTCAATCCTCAAATTTCCTTAGGGACAAAGGGGAACTAAATTTGATTTTCTACTGGGAAAGTGATTCCAAACAATACTGAAAAGCAGAGTCTTTGGTGAGACTTATATTTTACGTAAAATTGTATGAAGCTCATAAAAGCATTGAAACAAAAATGCCATAATAATCATACTTTTGCCCTACTTACGAGGTCATTTAAAATATATCTCTCCTCTCTCTCCGTCTCTGTCAGAGCGAAGCACTCGTGTAGAATACAGTTAACCTGATTTTCATTTACGTGTCCACGAAAAACATACACTTCAATGTGTAGGATACCACCGTCGGTTTGGATCGACGTTTTCTCGTCGAACCACATCCGCAACCAGTGGACCCACTTTTGAGAATGGGACCGGTGAGTGACCTGACGTATTACATCTGCGATACTTTCAGAAGCAGGACCATCATTTAGCTCCTGCAGAAGACGCCAAGCAAAAGAAAATTCGACTCCACAGGCATCCCAGATAACTTCATCGGATACTCATCTGCTCAAAGAAGTACCGCCCAAAGGTTCGAGTATAGAATGGTCTACATCTCTGGGGACTACTCGAAAGGTCGCGGGTTCCAATTCCGCTCCGGGCATGGTTAACTTTAGTGTAGTGGCATGTTTGAGGAGGTTTTTCCAAACCACCATGTATCACCTAAAGAAATAACTTTACCAACCCGTCCGTTCCCCTACCCTGGTTCGAATTAGGGTCTAGTAGTGCAGATGTCACTAAGTACTGCGTAGAAGGGGAGACAAGCGCTGTAAATAAATGACCTCCCACATATCGTTCCCCACTCTAACCAGTTTCAAGTGCCGCTACTGGCTTATGGGTCACAGGAGGTTATGTACCAGCTGCTGTAGGTCGACGGACCTAAGCGGGGCGATGCACCGATATTGATCTCCACAATCTAGCGGTATTTAAATCAAAAATGCATATGGTCGAAACGAATGGAAGCCTACGTGGGTGGTTTCCTGCCAGGACTGTACCAGTCCCCATAAGTGCAACATTCATTCCTCGGAAGAATGGGGGGTATGTTTAGCGAGCGCTTCCGAGCCGCCCGTGCAGCCGTGCCTAAAAGTCCTGCTTTGACGCGCTTGATGTTATTGCCCACTGCCACTAAATTGAGGATAATTTGATTTGTGGTTATGGACGAGAATCCGGAACGTATGTTCTTTAGAATGCTTTAATAGAAAATTTTACATTTTTGATTGTATTTTATATGCCAAAGTATCACTATGTATTCGAGACAGGTTTCTTAGTGATCGGAAGTTTAAACTGAGTTATCTTGAGTTGCCGGCAATTGCCAAGAATGGTCTTTGCACTATTATATTCTCTAAACTTTCTGATATAAAATGGTGGAAAACATTTTTGGCCGAATTTGTCCCTTTCCGAAGAAAAAAAAAAAAGAAAAAAAAGGGAAAAAAAAAAACAGTTTGTTTTTCTTTCAGACGCTGGCACAGACGGAAACTATTTGAGCTCTTGCATGAGGGTGAACTCTCATGTAACAGATTTACGGAATAGAAAAATGCTAATGCTATATATTTCTCTTAATGTTCTTGAATACATTCCAGGGGCAGTATTAAGTGAGAAGACACGGAGATTTACTTGCCAAATTGCTGACAAATGGAAGGCTTGTAACAGAATAGTAGACAGATTCGCGGCAAGGACCCCAGCATGACTGGGCGACGAAATGTTGTGTAAAGGAAGAAGCGCAGAAAACAACGAAAGGTACACATGGAAAAGAATTACCTTCATGTTCGAAAAGAACAAAAAAGCGAAAAGTACAGCGATATTTTACAGACCCATTAAATTCGAATTTGTGAAGGTGACACCCCATAGGACGAATGTAGTAATAGCTCTGATAGAAGAAAACATTTCAAGCAACAAAATTGGATATTGTGGGTGCAGATGTCACTGTTTATCACAAATTATTGAAATATATGCGGGAAAAGAGTGTAATTTACTTTTGTTAAAGCGTCCTGTCAGAGTTCTTTATTTATGAAGTATCTCTAAAGCAAATAATCAATCTGAAACAAATTTTATATATATAAACCTGCTGTAAAGAAGCTTTGTTGGTCTTTCGCGCTCAAATTCGTTTCTTTCCATTTCTTACAGACTATATTTTATAAAATGGCGGGTTCGTGGATATGAAGAAAAGATACTGCAAGATCCCAGGAAAAGGCAAATAATTGTTAAATTTTGAAAGAAAATGGGACTCCTTATAGTCATCCTAAAACATGGAAGTGGTACATCGAACGATGGGAACACTCTTCGGCAAATTTTCCAAAATCTGGAGCAGTATACTAACATCACTGGGATAAACGGAAGTCCCATCCGCCGTTTCTCTGTTGTTTTACAAGCACTGAGGAGCGGATATGATGTGACTATGGAAGCTTTCAGAAAAAACACATTTGAAATAGCAAACGTTTATGTCAGTTTATACGGATGGGTACTTAACGCCTGTAACAGTGCACAAAATATTAATTCATGGCGCTGATGTCATACTGAAATGATTGTCTCAATAGGACAACTGTCCGAAGACACGCAGGAAGCCCGACACTAAGTCATTTCCTATTGATTTCTTCTCACTCGATAAAATAAGTATCCGGCTACTATCAACTAAGGAAAATAAACAGCTACCGACGGAGGGCTTCAAGATGTATATATTCCTGGAGGTGATGTGCCACGTGAAGGTAGAATAGCAGATTCAGAGAGCGATTTATGTCGTCTATTGAAACTTTTCTTTGTTATTACTTTTTAGATTTTTTATTTGCAGTTAGGTACGAATTAGAATCAGAATAATTCATATTGAGTTAGTGTCTAATGAACCTTTAGTAGGAGTAGACAATTGCCTGCAGTATCTCTTAAGAAGTTTCAATAATGATAACCTGGCAAACCTTGTCAACACCAGAGGGCAATGAATTTATTATTATATTCCGTTCCTACGTTACAATACAATGGTAAATGGCACAGGGAATAATTCTGATAATTTTCAACACCGTCGGCTTCACCGTTCTCTTGAAAATATTTTAACACCGCTAGATAAAGGAAATCAACAACTGTGAGACGGTGTGAGGCTAATGGGCTTTGGCAAGTGACGGCAGTGAATTCCTATAGGAAATATACCGAAGCCAAAACCTGATGACAACATTTTAATACTGTTTCTCCCACATATGAATGTATTACGTGTATATCATGCAACTGGATCTTCCGCCGTCAGGTCCATTAATCCTTAACAAAATCATAAAATAAACATTATATAGAAATACAATAATAATTTAAAACATTTTTACTTACTGGCCTTTTTTTGAACAACTTAGTAGAATAAATCTATTATAAATCTGATATAGAGCACGATCCGGTAAGCCATTCCCTAAATATTGAACTATTCTCTTTTTTGTCGTCTTGTAACCACCAACTCGTTTGATGATATTTTCAAGAAGATCAGAAGATGAAACAAAATTATCCTGAAAACGAATAAGAATATAATTTAGGTTCTGTAATCAACGATAATAAAATTGTTTATAGGTCCACAAGAGTCAAATATGCATACATTCGAAAAACTTGAAGAAATATTTGAAAAACAAATATACATTTTTGTTCCCGAGTTATAGAAAATGTATTTGCATCGGTAAACGATGCAAATGCAATGATTTTCCTGCATGGCTAACAAAATAGCAACTCGCCTTACCTTTACTCTTACAAGCGAAAGGAGAGTTCAACAAAACGTGCGCATAGTGAAGATACATTAACGACCAGAAGCAAAACAAGGGGCATTCTCGGCATTTGTTCAATGAATCAGGGAAACTAGACAAAAACCTGATCGACATGGGAGTCAACGGAAGCTGAAGTACATTATTTCTTACAATCATTAAGTCTTTTTAAAACAACTTATACAATACAAATGTAAACAAATTCATTATATATCATTGATTTGTTAAAGTAACATTTTTTTTTTTTTGATAATCTGTAGAGTCTCTAATTGTATAGAAGCAGTTATGCAGAAGAAAATATTTTATTTTAACTTAAATTTGGTGAACCTACTTCAGTTGTTTAAGTCATCAGGAAATACGTTGTAACAGTAACGTACATTATATTGTAGCGTGATTTCTGATTGTGAGCCAAGTTGATACAAACACTAAATGAATGTATTTTTTACGAGCCGTGTGTTTGTAATTATAATAACAGTACTGCAGAAGACCTCTCCCCAGCGTTAAAGTAAGATCACTTACTGACCAAATATTACAGAATCTCGTTAAATATACTAGCAATGCAGAGGTAAGATTACAAGCCTCGATGAAGAGAGCTTGCAAGGAACGCGCTGATGCATTTAATTATTCGAATAAATTTCTTTTGCAATCTATAGGTCTGAGTAATACATATGATTATCCGTAGAATTTTATACCATATCTCACCGGGAATTACCTTTGCAAAATACACGCATCGAGTTGCATGAAGGCTGACACGAATTGATTAGAATTCTAATGCGTAATATATTGAAATAATTTAGTGTTTTAATTTTGTTATATGTAATTCATTTGAGGTCTTGACTGAATTAGAGACCTAGAATTTTGTCACCTAACATCAGCTAATTGCCATACTATTCATTCTTCACATGGAGCATGCGCATTGTTGATTTTGAAAGCAAAAATGGCATGAACATGTTTTCCCCTTAACTATTTAATTGGTTATTCATAAAACCCAACTTGAAATTCTAAAATATACTGTTTATTGGTTTCTTTGCAAAAGAACATTCGTCCGATCGGCAAACAGAACCGTTCTTCTGTTTTGAAAGACAGACGCATAGTCGTTTTACGTATAACAAAAAGAGATAGAACCTAATGATCATTCTTGCGGGACCCATCATTCATTGCAAAGAATTGGAAATAATTATAATTCCTTGTGTCCATTACGGTATTTCTACTCTGTGAGATCATGTTTAAGTACGAGTTATCCAATCTAGCAGTAATACCACTAATTTCAATAGCCAGTAAGATGATCAACTAACGTCAAAAGCTTTCGAAAGCATCTATATAATATTGCAATGAGGCTTCATTTTGTCCATTGATGAAGCAAACACTCTTTAAAAATAAAAAATGAAGTTCCGTAGATTCTTGCTTTTTGAAAACCCATTGTTATGAGACTGAAAACGCTTCGTTTTTCTGAGAAAAGTTTCCATTCGAGTAGAAAAGCCTCTCTAATATTTTAGAGAACCTGACAAAAGAGAAATTGGTCGGTAATTTTGAATTTAATTTTTGCTCCCTTTTTTAAAAAAAAATGGCTTAATTTTCACTGTTTTGAAAATATCTGGAAATATTCCTGTGCATAAAGAAGCATTGGAAATGTGAGTGAACGGGTGTATAAAGGCAGGTGCCCAAGTTTTCAATAAAAAATCCGGAAATTCATCTAAACCAGATGATTATTTTTTAGTTTACTGACTATTCGTAAGATTTTGTTGGAAGTTTGGGAAAGAAACAGTCTCGGTATTTTTGGGGGAAGGTAATGATGTTGAATTTTGCGGTTTTAGTCCCTTCGTGAGTTTAACAGCAATTTTAGAACAGTGTTGGTTGAGATTTACCACTTTTTCCGGATTACTGGCTTCATTTTCATTATCCTCTAAATCAACATTCTCTATTTAGTAACGAGATGTGATGTGGTCGTATTTTTTACGGTATTCCACATTGTTTTGTTGCTAGCGTTCAAAATACCCTGATTCTTTTTTATTATTTTTGCTTTAACTATTTCTTTCCTTAAAATTCGTTTGTATTCGCGAAAATAGACATGGAAACCGGATAGGTTATGATGTTGTTAGAAATAAAGTAAAGCGTACGTTTGTTTTTACACGATGTTCTTATACCTTGTGTGATCCAAGTATTATTTTTCGGAGAAATATTTAATTTTCTCTTTTAGAGAGGAAAGCCTGCGTTAAAGTGAAATGAAAGTTTTGAGAAAAATATATTTTTCATTTGTATCAACAGCGTTATAAACAGTGTCCCATGATTTCTTCAGCAAGTAGTCTGTATATAATTTTATGTTAATTTTAGTGAATGCTAGTAATGCAGGAAATTTTGAAAACTTTTGCTTGCTGAAATGCTAGTAATGCAGGAAAAGCAATATTTCAATATTACGTTGCTGTTTCCAATCACGCACGAAAGTATGTGCTGTTGTAGCTCTATTAGTTTACCCTGTTATTGTATAATTAATACTGTATTTAAAAAATATTGATATGATTAATAAATTCAAATCCTAAAATTTATAATAATATTTTTTTTTATTGAAATTAATTCTCTCTCTAACATATTTTTACATTAAAAAATAAATGCTGTTTTGAATTATATATTTTTTTAGAATTAATAAAAACGCTTTGCTTTCATCTGCTTAACTTTTTCTTATATTAGTATTAGCTCTCCTCTTTACATGAAAAGTAAATGAAGACAACACAGGTATTAAAATATCATTTTAACTTTCAACCCTCTCAATATTACTATAAATACCCATTAAATGTACTTACATAATACCACATTTCCCAAAACAATGTAAATCCTGTGATAAAATAAAATGTGCCACAAATCATTGATTACTTACTTTACACAGGTTTTCCCAATTATTCATGATAATGGCATCTTCAGATTTATTGAAGGGAATTTGCTTCATACCCATAGAAACCAAATGCTCTCTTTCTTGTTTTGTTGGTATAGTACAAACACTATACTCAACCAAATGTAGTAGAGGAATGTCATGTCTTATATTCACATCCACTTCACGATATTTCTAAAAAATAAAACAAAACAAAGAAATTTAAAATGAACTTACATTTCTCATGGATAAATATGAACTTTACATAATCAACAGTAATATTTGCTCCCTTTAAATAAGCATTTAAATAAATATTAAGGATCAAGGTTAAATTCAAACTTTTGAACATACATTCTGCTCACTCCAAGTCATGATTCAAAGGAGAGGAGAAAAAATACAATTTGAATTCTAAATTTCTTAACTATTATTGCATTAACAGTTACATGAAAATAAATCAGTACCGAGTGGAAAATAATTAAAGTTCAAGAAATTCTCTTCAGCCAGGATGCCAACGGAAGGTGCTAGTAATTGTCTCTGGAAGAAACAATTCTTGGGAGTATGAAAACAAAGATATTGGTTCTGAAGGAAACGAGGAGGAGGATCCTTGAAGCCTTGGAGAAGGCAATCCTCCTGGGACAAGGAAAGTCCAAAACCACAACCTCTCCTCAGAAAGGAGGTTTTGCAGAGAAGACTAGTACCCCCCTCACACACACAAACTTCAGTTACTTGTATTGTCCAAAATAGCCTCGGAATTACCTCAACATTGATGAACACTGTACAAAGACCTTGAAAATGCAAATGACTATTTAAAAGTTGCCACTTGGATGCGAGGGGAATTCAAAATAAATGTAGCAGCAATTACAGAAACCAAAGAAATTAGCAAGATCAAAATAAGTGGTTAACTTACCATGTTTTACAGTCAAGTACTTTTTTATACTGAGCGGCTAATGGAGTTGCTGTTTTTGTGGTCACAAAGTGGGAATCAAAGATAAAACAATATCAACATGTAAATTAAAAAAATTCTTACTATGAAATTAAGACATGACAGAGGTCAGAAAGTAGTGACAGTGATTTATGCACCAGAAAAAGAAAAGAAGTAAGATACAGATCACTTTTAAAGAACTCTTCAAAAGATCATAGACTTGTATAATTCAAAATATGAAATCCTGCTGCTAGACAACTTGCATTTCTTGCCATTAGTAATGGTTATGTAATACTATTTATACCAGAATTTCTGCCTTAATTATTTTTTGTAAAACTCATTTCAAATCGTAGAATATTTGATGCGAAAAATAAGCAGAATGCGAGAAAGTAAAACAATTAAAAGTGATACAATAAAAAGATACTAATAGCATCAATAAACAAATACAAATAGATCGAAAAACATGTATAATAGTAAATATTAAATACTATGGTATTGCAAATTTCTACAAATATATAAAAGTATTCATTTTCATTACTGCAAATGAAAACCAGCAGTCATTATCAGCTACAATTACTTGTGCGGTGATACAAAAATTGGTAACAACCAACAATTACCACTCATCAATTTGCTTTCACATTTAACACAATGAAAGAACGAAATTTAAAATGAAATAACATAAATGTAGTAAATAATAATAATAAAATTAAACATGAATATACAAATTCTAACTTTCATAGCATGCAAATGCGGAAATTGGGAACAGGAGACAGAAGGCTAGCAATCCTTATTTTATATTTTTTTCAAATGTGTTTGAAATAATTTCTAAAAGATTAATTTGTTAGCGCATAACAAAAGCTCCAATGTAAGAAACGAACAAAGAAATATTAAATGTGAAATAATATACACATCTACCTCTATAATTAAGATCAAGAAGCGCAGGATTTTCAGAGCGAGCGACTGCCCAATTACTCAAAAAATACTCATAGTTTCGAAAAATTCAACGTGACCTTATTTGAAAATCTGTTTTAATAGTGTATGGATTCATTTGATCACGATTGCCCACCCTTCAGGAATTTTTTACCACTCGGTTTCAAAAGTTGTAAGAAAAAAATGTATCTCCCGACATTTTTTCAATTTTATAAATACAATACGCGGAAATTTCGATATTTTACTACTCCCAGCGTTGGCCCATCTTTGGAAAATGATTGTACATCACTTACAATTGTAACTGTGATCGTAAATACACAGGCAAGGCCTATTAAAGTTGGTCTTCTTCGGAATGAAAAGGATATCATCAAAGTAAATATGGAATGCTAAAGATATATTTTTATTATTCAAAATAAAAATATTTTTGAATGGAAACGAAAAAATATTGAACGTCACACGTGTATAAATGCGTATAATTGCACTCGTGGTAAATAAAGAAACTCGTTCCTATCGTCGCTCGTTTCTTCGATTTTACCACATCGTGCAATTATACGCGTATTTATACACTCGTTTTGTTAACGACTATAAGAACTGTGAAACCTCGTCCTATATGAAGATAATCCTTGAAAGATTTGGAGTTGCTTTTAAGAAGAAATCGTAAATGAGAAATTTGAAGCTCTTTTTACTGAGTTTTTGAAAAACTTAATTAAGAGTCCTATGAAGCAAATTGAAAATGTGCATTTTAACGTTATTAACCGCGCGCGCGCGGGCACCCATCCATAATACCACCCATGGCCGTTGACAAGGCTTCAATAAATATGATTTATTATTTATTTTGAATAAGTGTTATGGATGTTACATACATTTTATTCAATGTTTTGAAACGCTACAATTAGAGTTATTTCGATAAGATTTGTATGTTTTTACATTATATTGTATAAAGATTTGATAGTCTTTAAATGTGTATCATTGACATATCATTAATAATAAATTATCCACTATTCAATAATGATTATACTGTTAATTACTAATTTTTCCCTAAAGAATAAATCATTTTTAACATGTAACAGAAGTCATTTAATTTTATTCAGTCATGCTTTTCTAATTCATATTATTTGCCATTGAGGTAAGAAATAAAAATTATACCATTCAATTTTTTTAAAGAGAAATGACATCTACTTCTTCAGTTGCAAGCGTGGTTAAATACAAGGAAAAGTTAGAAATAACAAGAATAAGAATTTAGAAATGGCATTCACCAGTTGCACCTTGACCATGTGAAGACTCACTAATACCCCGAATTCAGCATTTTCTACATTTTAAATTTTTATTAACCCAAAAATTAATTTTCGAGATGATGTGCTACAGTAGTATCAAATGTGAGCCTTGCCTAATAAATAAACACAAAACCTCTTATTACAACATTAAATTGCCAAAATGTGATGTTGAAGATAGAAGTATTTTTCTAAACATGAGATGGGAATCAGTTAAAGAAATACCTTCACAGTGAAAGAATTGTCTTTGAGTAGAAACTTCCATTAGTTTGAGATATTTGATGAGAAATATTATTTGGTAAGGTTTACTAATAACTCGGAACGAATGAATATCCAAGTTGTTTTTCCTAAGAAAACAATATAAAATTACAGTAATTTCATACATCAATATAATTTAATGTTATTAAGAGAAATTTATGTGATATGTTGCTATGAGTTGTCATGTGTAGCATCCGTAACAATATAAATATATTTTCAAAAATCAATTTCATTATCATCTTCTAAATAATATATGAGCACTAAGGCCTTGAAACATACTGAAAAACCTCCGTCTTTTTTTTTTTAATTTGATGGAGTAAGGAACCTGAATTTTGCTTAAATAACTCAACAGCTCTTATAAGACTGCCCAATTCTGTAACCTTCATAACACTACTATTCTTTTAATATCTTTGAAATTAATGAAATAAAGTAATAGAAAATTTGCTGAAATGAAGTCATTTCTTTATTATACAAACATTATGTTAAAAAAATACACTAAATTCTCCTTGAAAGATATGAGAATAAAAAGATGTCAAAATGTAATGTCCGTAATAAATGGAATGGTTCATTTACAGTAATTCTTAAACACCATTTTTGTACAAACGGCTCAAAATTTTTCAACAAAAGTATCCATATAGGATGAGATTTTACTCTTCTATAATATCCCTAATTTTTTTCAGTTCTGCTATTAGGAAACTGAAAAATTGGGCAAATGTGAAAAAAAATGCTTGAGGCAAGAGGATGGGGCATGAACAAAAAGCTAGCCCTTCCCCAAAAAATTAGGCAACTAACTAGTATGAGAAAGTCTGCAACATTCAGTAGCACACTAGATTGAGAAAAAAATGTTTAAACAAAATTAAAAATTGCCTATATTTCAGAATTGCAAAATTATGCAAAGAGTATTCAAATTTTCAAAAAATTATACCTGAACCTATTTCAAAATTATCGTTAAGGAACCGATTTCAAGAGAAAACTTTCTATCTTTAATATATTTAGTCAAAGGAATACATTAAAAATATTTTAACTTTTGCAATTTTTAAAATATTAGGGTTTTCAACAAACTTGAGACTTGCACAATTCTCTTAAACGTCCTTCACACTACCCAACAACAAAATTTAATCAAATACCTGGGAGAGACATTTTGGAAAATTTAAAAATGTCCTAGGGCTTCATGTAAAGTACCTCCAAAATTAAAATATCAGTTTTAAATTCAAGGGGCCAGCATCCAAGCATTCAAGGTGTCACCATCAGCCAGATCGATAGGGGAATATCAAATTTGGAGAAATTAGGCTAATTGGTTCAGCCGCTAGCGTTGTTCACAGACAGACGGATCGACACAAAGACAAATGTTTTGCTTGTCTATTTTTCAGTATCAAGGACACACAAAACATGGATTCTCATACCACGTGATAGTTCTCCCCACCCAAATTTGGCTGTTGAATAGTGCAAAGTACGTTAAAGAGAATGGTGCAGGTCTCATTGTCCTTGAAATCCCCAATTTTTCAAAAATAGCAACAACTTTCTGCTACCAAAAGTTTAGATTAAGAAATATAAAATATATTTTTCTAAATAAATTACTCACTTTCAATGCATTTCTTCCAAATTCAGCTGTGATAGCATCATTCCATATTTTATCACACTCTTCCTTCTTATTGCCTATTTTATTTGCATACACGGTCAACAAATCCATAGAAGAACATTTTTCATTTTGAAATAAATCATACACAGACTCATCACCTGAGTCCATGTTATGTACATTTAAATTTGTATTAATAGGTTTCTCTATATCATCACAAGAACTGAGGGCTGAAGGCACTATAAATGAGGGCTCCCTTGTGCATAAACCAGCATTGGCTTCATCAAGGTTAATACTAGCTTCATTCTGCAAAGCAAACTGATATTTCTTCTCTCTTTTACTATTTCCAACACTTTTAGATGACAGGGGTGGAAAAGAAGGGCTTGACTCAAACACACAAATATCTGGAGTATTTTGGTTTGTTTGCATCTTCTTCAGTTTTCTTTTTAAGTCACTGGATTCACAAGTAATTTCTCCTGTCTTTCTTTTCTTTCTTTCAGGTGGTGAAGTAGAACTTCTCTTCTCAACCACACAATCAGTATCAATATCTTCAATGATTTGGTTGGTTAAGTGATTCGTACAGCTTTGCTCTCTTTTTATGCTGGTTACCATTACTCTATCCTTGCATTTATCCTTCATAGAATTATTCTTTTGGAGTTTTCTTTTCTTTTTAGAAGGTGAAATGGAATTTTCAAATACATTATTTTCTGAAGAAATAGACAGTGGAGTTAATTCAGAACTACATACATCAATTACTTCCATGTTTCTTTTCTTTTCTAGAAATGAATCACGTCTCATGTTTTCTAACTTAGTAAAGTCATGTAGTTTCTCTTTCTTTTTTCTTTTCTTTAAATATTTCAATTCGTTAATAGTTTCAAAACTTTCACTATTTTTTTCCAGAAGCTTCTTTTCTGATGAAATGGGTTTTTTATTCATTGGTGAACTTAATTTTAAGATTCTTATTTCAGATATGTCCCTGCCTCTATCATTTTCTAGCAATGAATCATAATGTATTCCATTTTCCAACCTCGAACAGTTATGGGGTTTCTTTTTTTTCTTTTCTTTTAAATAATTTAACTCATTGGTAGTTTCCAAGACTCCACAATTGTTTTCCAGAGTCTTCTTTTCAGATGAAACAGATTTTCTCTTTACTGGCCAACTTAATTCAGAACTACACAATTCAAATACTTCCAAGCTTCTATCTTCTTCTAGCAATGAGTCACGATGTAACATATTTTCTGAATTTGGTGAGCAATAAAGTTTCTTTTTTTTCCTTTTATTTAAGTAATTTGATTCATTGCTGGTTTCTGAGGCTCCACATTGTTCTCCCAAAGACTTATTTTTAGATGAAATAGATACTCTATTTGCTGGTGAACTTAATTCACAGCTTCTCATTTCAATTACTTCCCTGCTTCTATTATTTTCTAGAGATGTGTCATAATGAATCACATTTTCCACAATTGAAGAATCATGGCGATTTTTTGATCTTTTTTTAAAATAACTTGACCCATTAACAATTTCTGAAACTCCATTATTTTCTTTTAGTCCATAATTTTCTGAAGAAATGGGTTTCCTATTCACCAATGAACTTAATGCAGAACTACACATACCAACTATTTTCAGGCTTCTACCCTTGTCTAGTAATGAGTCATAACGTATCACATTTTCCAATGCTGAATTGTGAGGATGCTTCTTTTTTTTCCTTTTAATTAAATTATTTGATTCAGTAGCAGTTTCTGAGGCTCCATTGCTTTCCAGAAACTTATTTTCTGATGAAATAGATTTTTCATTCAATGGCAAACTTCTCTCAGAGCTTATTATTTCAGTTACATCCCCACTTTTATCTTTTTCAAACATTGAGTCACAAAACATTCCATTTTCAGAGCTTGACGACTTACAATGCTTCTTTTTTTCTCTTTTGTTTTTATAATTTGACTCCTTAGAGGTTTCTGAACCTCCACAATTGTTTTCCACTGATTTATCAGATGATGAAATAGATTTCCTATTTATTAGCAAACTTAATTCAGAGTTTCTTATTTCAGTTACCCCCTTACTTTTATCATTTTTTAGAGTTGAGTCTTGATGTAACAAGTTTTTCAACTTTGGAGAGTCATGATACTTCTTTTTTTTCCTTCTCTTTAAATAATTTGATTCATTGACATTTTTTGAGAGTCCACTATTGTATTCCAGAGACTTATTTTCTGATAAAATTGATTTCCTATTCACTGGGAAACTTAATTCATGGCTTCTTAGGGCTGAGTCACAATTTCGTGTATTTTCCAACCATGAGTAATGATTATTCTTTTTTTTTCTTTTCTTTAAATAACTTGATTCATTGACAACTTCTGAAACATAATTATTATTTTCCAGCAAACTCAATTCATTTTTTTTAAAACTACATGATTGGCTACATTCAGGAGGTATGTTTAAAGACATATTCTTGTTTCTATTTTTAATGAATGATACGTATGAGTCCATGAAGGACGATACAGTTGATTGCACACCACCTGACATACCTGACACTTTCTTGGTTCCTTCTTTAACATAATTTACAGTGGAAAAGTTAGATTTAAAAGAATACAAATGCTCGGTTCCCGGTTCTCCCTCCATGTCATTTCCTCTCTCTTGTTTCAGTTTCTTTTTGCTTTGAATTTCAACCTGAAATATTCACATCAAAATTTATGGATAATGGATAATGAAGTGTCATATTATAATTTCCTATAATTGCCATTCGTTCTTACTGTCTGGACGTAAACTGCATCATCTTCGTTATTAACGAACACCTGACAACTCTCTTTGAAAAGTTCTTCTTATCTTGACTGAAATTACCACTATTTAACAAAAACTTTATATCCCAAATAAATAGATTCAAACGCTCATTTTACGAAAATCAAACATATGTTAATAAAATGTATTTCACAGTGATTTATTTTCATTCTTGTGGTGCATTAAGGCAATTCAATATTATAAATATATTGAAAGTTGCGAACAAATCAAAAGTTGAAATAATCACAATACACTACACAACTACCTCACAGCACACGTCCAACCTTACTAATATCTGAATACAACACACAACAAATCACCACAAACAACACATAACCTGCAGTAACATGCAGTAACTTCCTCGAGTCCACATGGTGCGTACTACAGAGAACGATTTATTTAGTCGTGCACTTGACGTAAATCAGTTGTTACGATTTCATCCAATCGGGAGCTTGAAAGTCGCTGGAGTGACGTCACTGTGGGGATGTTCAAACTCTCAATTGGATGAAACCGTGAACAGCTAATTTACGTCAAATGCATGGTTAAATAAAGGGATAATGATATGCGCACGAAAGTGCATAAAAATGTAATTAACGTTGCTTTGCTTTCAAAAGAATAATTAAAATGCTATTAAAAATATATTTTGTCACTGTTTTAGTTCTTTTTTTTTTTCATCTTTGAATATGATGTATGCGGACATTTTCTTGAGCCCCGGAACACGTACACCCTCTCCTTGTTGAATTAGGTTGAATTAGGAAAAATGATAGCAATGAGCGTTGTTGACAACCAGAAATTTGCTCCCTTGTAATAGAAATTATTTTTCTTCGTAAAACGAGCTACAGATTTTAGATAAATATATAAATAATATTAATTAATTAATTAATTAATTAATTAATTAATTAATTAATTAATTAATAGATTAATAGAAGCGAACGTCCCTGCTATTGACCATTTGCATTAATAATTAATTGATTAATTAATTAATTAATTATTAATGCAAATGGTCAATAGCAGGGACGTTCGCTTCTTTCATCCGGACAGTCTGGACAGTGCATTTTTCTTCTCAAACTATTGTTTTGAAGAGATTCTGTTCAAATCGAGCTGCATAGAGCATTTTTGAGTGGATCACACTCATAAGAAGTCGTCTTTTCTCGTCGCCTGGTGTTCGGCATCGATCTTGAAAGTGATGCTGCTATTGCTAGGGCTTTTTCCGTCGTCTCGGTAACGTGTGGTCCAAAACTTAGCTTCCTGTCAATTTCCATTCCTTAGTAGCGAAGGCTCTTGCGACATTGTATTTTTCCTTGACTATTATGAATGTTGGTTTGGAGTAGGATCGTCTGTCCGTGATGTGTAATATTTCCGTTTTATGGGCTGCCACTTCCAACACTTTGGACGTCACCCATATCATCACTCTTCTCAGGGTTCGTTCACGATGATGTCTGGTGGGGCTGATAATTCCGCTTTTGCCACTATTATTGTATCGTCTGCGAAGCACACTACTGAAAATTGATTGCCCAGTAGACTGTTGTACATAATATTCCAAAAATCAGGATTAAGTTTCGAACCTTGTGAGACACCACAGGTCATTTTGATTTCAATAGGTTCTTCTTCGCCTTCGTAAATTCTTTCGGTCGCTTAGGTATTTCCTTACCATACTCGTGAGGTACTCCGAGGTGCTCTTATCCATCACAGCCTTGATAATTCCCTCCCATTTAAGGCGTTCCAGATATTGGGCGTTACAAGGGCACATAATTCTTTTTTTGCTCCCTCTTTGGCTTCTCTGGCCTTTTCTACGACTGTTTTGATGGCGTCGACCGTCGATCTATCTTTTCGAAAGCCGTATTGCGTTTCTGACCGACCGCATGTTTCCTCTAGCCGTTTCTGTAGTCTTTCCAGTATCAGGCCCTCGAATATCTTTCCCATCGTGTCTTGTAGGCAGATTGGTCTGTGACATGTGTGCGCGTGTTGTGGTTTGCTGCCTTTTCAGAAGAGAGCAAGTTTCTTCTTTTTTTATACCCTCGGAAAAACGTTTCCCTCGAGCATCTATTATATGCTTTCAGGAGAAGTTGGGGGTGGACCTTTGCCACAGTCTTCAGAATTCCATTGTGTATTCCGTCCATTCCGGGGGTCTTTTTGTTCTTAAGGGTACTGCATACTTTCAGCAGTTTTCTGGGGAAATCATTTGCTCTTCTGTAATTTCACAGGGCTGGCTTCGTTCTATCGAATGTTTCTTATGCGATGGAAACAAATTCTTTATGATTTGGATTACGGCTATCCAGTCCGGGAGTTTTACGTCTGCAATCTAGTTTTGTAGTGACAATTTGGTACTGCTTGCCCCACGGGTCGTTTAGCGTGTTTTAGGTCCTGCCGAAGAGCCTCTTTTAGTGTCTGTGATTCTTTGGTGCGCGTGTATTGAGGTCTCTTCTTTTTTTTTATTTATTTCTCATCAGTGCTATCTATCTATCTATCTATCTATCTATTGAGGATGCCGAATATGTGCTGCGTTCCGGGATGCAAAGGAAATTATAAGTCAAACGAACGGCAAGTCACTGCTTTCAAGTTTCCTAAAGAAGAGGAATTTCGGACCAAGTATTTAAAAATTATACCCTCTCCGGCTCAGTGTGCACTTCCTTTGTGAATTAAGCTGCAGCGCCCAACACATTCTATGTCAATTTTAAAAACAGAATTTACAACTTTGTGACCACAATTTATAACTTGTGGACAATTCGTAAGAAAACTTATATTAGAAACTTCAAAACGTATGAGTAGCAGACATTTGGATAATTATTCGAAAATAGAAAGTGATTCGTGCATTGCACAAGTTACAAACTTAAAAAAAAAAATGAAGCATTTTTGTAAATATTTACGGGTAGAATTATGTGTCTATTATAAAAATTAGGAAACTAATATGTATTCAAATATTCATTGTTCTGTAAGATGTAATATCTGCAGTAGTTTGTAAATATCTTTTGGGTCAATGTCCTCCATCTCGATCAGGTTTTTATCCAGTTTCCCGAGAACCATAGAGCAAATGCTGAGACGGTCCCTTGCCTTGCTCCTGGACATTTAAAAGTAGCTTTCATTTCCTCCATAAATGAAGAAATAATATATTTAATATTTCAACTTGTATTATTAATTTTTATAAATTTTATAAGGTATGATTATTTAACACCCCATTTCAAAGTCTAGTGATTCGATACTTTTATTATCATAGGTAACCATCAGTGATTTGGAAATTGCCGATAAATTCCCGACTCACGAAGCGAAAAATCTGAGAATTTCTAAAGCACGACTGGTATTTAATTGGACTATTCCTCGAGTGAAATTATGTCCAGTTCCAAAAGGCGCCAAATATTGAAAATAACTGAAAGGGCATGTTAAAATCAGAGCTTATGTTACAATACATACGCTGTTTATTGGATATCGACATACCGATCGATGTATAACGCCTGCTAAGATGAGTCACATTTTATGATTGGTAGATACGGTAAGAAAAATCGCGTAGAAAAAGCGACTAACTTTTTGAAATACACCGCCCTGATTGGAGGGTTTTGTATGTATAGTTAAACACTATTGGTTGTAATTTTACGAGTGGAATAGTCATTATAATTTTCTTATTCTTGTTCGCAGTCTTACTTAAAGAGTTGACTAGTAAACATAAGTAACCAAGCTATATTTTGTTGTAGGGTGTTAAGTGAAATTACTTATTTCATATTACACAAGAGTTAAAGATGACATTGATGAGAATACGTGCATTAAATATTTTATAGTACGAATTTGTCCGCTGGCAGTGTCCAAATTGTAGCTTGAAAATCTAATAATCGGTCAGTATTAACAAAAGTTTGCCCTGGGTCGGAGGTATTTTTTTTTAATAATATACATTTGTGATGACGAAGATCGACATTGCCAAATGAACCGGCTCCGATAGAGGCCGTAGCTTTGCGTTTCTGTAAAATTTGCTGCGGATACTGTATCATTCAAATGTATTTCTGTTTGTTTCATTTGTCAAAATAAATTATTGCTCCTGACTATCGAAATTAATACATGTATACATCACATGCACGATAAAATAATTAGTGGTTGGCAATACATATATAGTTAGAAATGATTATCATTGACAAATATTATTATTAAGATCTGTTGATGTTAAAAAAAGAAGGCCTACAAAGTTGGGTGGAAGTCTCTTGATTTATTTCTAATAAACATTTTTCTAAGAGTTACAAAAATTATATTTTTCAAGAACATTAACATAATTCTTTATAGTTTGATAATAGTATTAAATGTTCTAACAAAGAATTTTAAAATGTTAACCACAATGAAGTTTTGAAATAAATTTCACAAGCAGAACGTAATGGCTTTCTCAGACAAACAACTTGAAGCTTTTAACTAAAAAGAAAGTGATTAAGTTAATGTTCAAAAGTATGAATGCTTAAAGCGAACTCCTCATGAACTTACTCCAAAATCAATTTTTATTATAGCATCCAAAAAGAGGCAAAACATTAAAAGAAATATAATTTTACTAAGAAATAATTTATCTTTTGACATAAAAAAGTCAAGATAACATAGTTTGATCTCTACAAAAATTCGTATCATAGGCACAAGTTGTCTTTCATGAGATAACTAAATCACTGTGCAATCTCTACTGCACGGAGTAACTTAGGCAGGACAGTAGTTCGATGTTCTTTAACTAATTTGTCCAAAAAAGTCATTTGATCTGTGATGGAAAAGCCAATAAAATTCTCATGCACCAGTTGATCCCAAGTAAACTCATCTACAGCAGCTCGCAGGATTTTTGGCTGCAAATAATGAAGCAAAGCAGCACAATAATAAATTATTATATCAGGTGGGTAAAGAATGCACAGAGTCAACCACTCACACACTTGGTTCCATTTGAGAATGGTCCAGAAGCACTGACTCAACCAGCTATAGCACACAACCCCCCAAGGAATACCTGTTGCACGGAGTGCAGCAGAAGCAAGGGGGACATTTTCTGAAATTACCATTTCTAATAATGAGCTGAAAACAATACACAAATGATTTACACCTCTGCTTTCTGCAAATGATGGCCAGAGTATCAAACTAACTTGTAAAGTAACAAAATTATTTAAAAATGTTTGACACTCTTCTAAATTTCCTGAACATAGTAAAAAAACAGATGAAATAAACCAATCAAAGCCTCTAAAGATAGAGTTTTTATCAATTTGTAAAACAGTTTGAGTACGTTGTAAAAGTTCTTTAAGTAAATGATTATTAGGTAATTCCTCCTCCAAAAGTCCTATCTGCACACCATATCTAACAGATATTTTGACTCCTAACATTTCTTCAGCACATATATCGTGGTTCAAGATGGAAGGATCATTAACCCAAATAAGTACAGTGTTCAATTCACCATTACATTGAGAGACACATTTTATCAAGGAAACAATGGAACTTGCAATAACATCTTCCTGCTTCGAGCGGAATGCTTTTCTAGCACAAATAAGCCAATGTGTGTTGTTTGTGATTTCATCTGAACTCTCAAGCAATCGATGGAATTCAGATTTACCAGAAAGATTATACGTAACTTGCCCAGTTACATCTGTCTTCTGTTCAGGAAACTGTATGGACATGAAGCTTTCTAAAATTTCTGTGTTGAAATCAGAAAAAGCCTCTTGTGAAAGTTTGCTTATAATATGGGTCTTTGTTAAAATCTGGTGGCGAAGTAAACTACATTCATCAACTATAATGTTCTTTTTGGCGTCACTTTCTCCCAAAGATGGTTTCTCAAATATGGGCGATGTCACATTTTGTAGCTGTACTTGCACAAGCCGTTTCTCAATGTTGAATTTTGACTCCACATACAACCAGGCATCAAGATTTCTTGTAACAGTTTGCAAAGTGAGCAAGGCAACTTTGTGCCACGGATCATTGGAATGTTCTATCATAATCAACTCAGCTGGAGAAATAGGATTGTAACCATTCTCTAATAAGGTTTCTTCACTTCCTTCATATTCAGAAAAAAAAATTTTTGTTCCAGAAAGTGTGCAAGTGAAAGTATGTGCAACATTCATGTAATGCATAATTGCAGTGTTAATATTTCTTTCTATTCCTCTTACAAATGATTCCTCATCTTCTAAGGCAGTCCACAGGTTGCATAGTACTATACTTAATGGCTTTGTACATTCAATGGCCATGGTATCTTCCACTTCTTGAAGTACTGTGAACATTGAAACTAATCTCCGAAACTCTGATGATTCCCATAACAAAAATGAATTTTGAAACACTAAAGGTACGAGATCTAAAATGTTCAAACCACACTGAATAACTGCCAATAAACCACCAGGTTGACTAACAACACTAGCCAAAAAATTAATAACAGATTTCTTTAATTCTTCTGATTCCACACAACTTCCTTCTATCTTCGAATGAAATATATCTTTACTTTGAGATTGAAAATACTGAAAATGAATAACAGAACTCTCAATTAGGGATAATTTGGATGACGCTGAACATAAGTCATAATATTTAAAAAAAACTGTACATACATGGAGTAATGGTATCAATGCCCTTTCACTAGTCTCTCTACGTCTTAATAGGATATCAGTATAATCCATAATTATATTCACAGGATGGAAATTGGGAACTATATCAGTATTATGCACCTTACCCCAAGGTGATATCATTTTATGTTCACCATTACTTTTGCCCTCCACAAGAAACATCATTCCTGTCTCATTTTTTGACAAAGCTTCTAAAATATCAATTGTATGCCATGGTATATGGTGATTAGAAAATTCTGTTGGGTGGTCAATGACTTCTTTCATTGGTTCTAAGCAAACTGTAAAGACTTCAGCGAGAGACAAGAAGGGTGATTCTTTTGTTTGAATAAGTGCCACCATTGCATCAGATATAATTTTAAAATTTAATAAATTTAATTCTTGACTACAATTTAAATGATTAATCAGTGTGCAAAGCATTTCAGAAAGGGTTACTGGATCATTTTTAATTTTACAAGACAAAGGAAAGAAAGAATGGCCCCTTTTGTAGGTGGCAAAACAACACAGAATATTGACACAATGGCTAAACACAGAAAGTCTAACAGATTTTTTACAAATAAAATTGATTGGCTTAGTGGGTTTCCCTTCTCCTTTTGTAGGTAGATAGTTTGATATTTCCTCTACTACATACCTTAAAAGAGTAATAACTCGGGATTGCTGAGACATAAATACACGTCGCCCAAACCCACAATGAAGCCAAATCCTACACCATTTAGCTTTAGGATCTATAGTTGTCATCACATGAAATGGATATAATACACTTTTTGAATTCATACTATCAAATGTGTGCATAGAGATTACTGCTAGAAATATATTCATAATTTCTTCTACAGCTTTCTCTCCCATTCTTACCCAGTGTTCTGGAACTAGCTTAGTTGTTTCTAATATTAAGTGTGATATTTTAATTATTCGATGATGAACAGGATTAAGAAATTCTAGTCCACGATCAAAACTTGGCAAAAATTTGTGGAATTTTCTTGAGTAATGAGACCTTAATCCTTCAATTAAACTTGAGAAACCTTCTCTCATAATATTATAAGATAATGTTAATAATTTAGCATGTATGGTAAGACTCAATTTGAAAATTTCTGCATCCGGATCACAAAGGCTTTCCACTAAATGTTTTTGAAATACACTCCAATAATCACATGAAACAACATCAGAGAGCTGAGAGTTTACCAAAATCTTGAAGGCTTGAAGACGAGTATTGAATGGCTGTTGTGGAGAAATATCTTCAGCTAATTGATGATGATGCTTTGGACGAGTAACGTCAATTTCTTTTTTACTCCAATTATTCACAGAAGACAAGGGAATGTTCCGTCTAATAGAGTACACAGGTACAGGTTCGGTTCGATTTTCTATGTTAAGGCAAGTGTTTCCTGCGTAAATGTGAAGTCTTCGCCTAATATTGTTGACTAAGTACCCCATTTGCGTAGAGTCTTTTAATCGTTTTACTATATTGAATGTGGCAATTTTCCAAGTTTGGAGGTTAACGTCGTCCCAATTCTCCGCTTCTTGATCAATAACACTTTTTAAATAATGCCTTGCGTTTTCCCTTGCCCAACTAACCACCACGGCATTTGCCGACGTTTCTGCATTATCGAAATTGGTTTGAAAGGAATCCATTCTGTTCTTTAAAATGCTAGATTATACAAACACATCGCCATCCTTATTTCTCCACAAGCAAACTGCATATTGATAGAGTTTTGCTGAAATTTAGGTTGTCACTTTTTCTTTCCATTTCCCTGGGATACTTAGCCCTTTAAACAAAATTGTTTTGGTATATCAGTCTTTGAATTGCTGCCGCCCTACCGTCGTCACTTCCTTGCAGAGTTCTTGTTCCTGACCTGACATCCGTGTCCTAATACATATGAAATGGTCACGTACTATCGATTTTTATGATGGTTTATGAGAAATCTTTCCAACATGAAAGGGTCAATTGCTTTCCAGTATATTATTTATGTGTATGTATGATCATGAAGAATATAATTAGAGATTACTGGAATCAAACTGATTGTTAAAAGTTTTTAGGAGTATTCACAGATCAAAAACCAACATTAACAACAAACAAGTTGACACACTTTGTAATAAAATAAACTCCAATACATTCCTCTGGAGATACTTTTCCAGATACTGGGAAACAGATGCACCTCTTTCAGGCTGTTATAGGATATTTTTCCCCAACTTAAATGTGGTATTGAAATATGGGAAGGTATGACACAAAAAAGATGGATAGATTAATGATCCAACAAAAGAAATGTATTAGAAGCATTTTCAAACTGAATCTGAGACAGCCCTGTAAAGATTTTGTTATTAAACATGAATTACTGACTGTGGTAGTACTTTATTCGTACAAAGTATTACTACTTTTGAAAAATAACCAGAATCAATATCTTGTGAGTAATAAAGAAGTACATAACTACCATATTAGAGGCATAGGGACTCTCACAGGATATACACTTGCAAATCTTCAACTAATAAAGATCCTTTCTGCATTGCTGCACAGCTCTTAATTTTCGCCCTGATATCATAAAATTATCTACTTCAAAACATTGTTTAAACATCTTATTAGTGAGTCCATACAAGACATCTAAATTGCTTTAACTTTTCTGTAATTAAAACCCAAGTACCACTACAAGTGTGATCACTCTTTGTACCAATAAGGCAATGTGCTATTTAGCAATGAAGTAAATAATGTTATAATAATGTAGTAAATAAAGTCACGATATTGTAAGTACTTACGATTATTATCAACATTAATGTATTCAAATTATTGTAAGTTAATTAAACTACTTCTGTAAGATAATGGAACTACTCACTCTAATTGTAAGTAATTTTCCTCTGTATCATAATCTGCTAGTTTATTAATATAATGCTCCGTTAATGTTATTTTTAATTTGTTTATGAAATTTTGTGTAGTTTAAAATGTAAGTTATTGTAGTATTTCTTCTGAGCACTTGCATGCTTTATTAATCATGTAATTTATCAAGAATACTATTCAAATTAATACTGCAAGCAAATGTACTTAAAACAAAAATTATCTTACTTAAGCATATTTTGTCTAATAAACTCATTCGATATTTCAAACAGCCAAGCCACAATAAGTACTCAAAAGTTAGTTTGAAAAAATACTTTTTACTCAAAAATTTGCATTTCAGAAACATATAAATTGTTTCTTATTTACAAAAGAAACAAATATATTTGCTCACAAAGAAAAATTAACATAGAAATAAAAAAGCAGCTGAATTGTGTTAATTGGGGGCTTTTTTTTATGATTGTGGATATGAGCCAGCACTCCATTAAACATTTTGTGTAACTAGATCGGTGTTTCCGTTCAGCTTTGTATCTTTTGGTGCATAACGTACTTGGAGAGAATCAGTAATTTGTTGTTTATCATAACAGAATTCTATTCATTATTTAATGAATATAGGCATTACTGCCATCTGCTGTAGGGAACTCTTAATTTAGTTGATGCCATGTCATTGATGTTTTAATAGGAAAATGAAAGGACCCAACTGAAGTAATACATAATAATGTATTAATTTTCAGTTTGATAGTCTAGAAATAAGTTACTACCCTTATGAAAGAATATTTTCAGGTTCTGTTAATAATACCAGATCTTTAGATTATGTGTATGCATGAGTACAGAATTTAAAAGTAATTTTACGTTACAGTTAGGAAAGCAGCTAGTGAAAAAGAAGGAAATTAATAGTGTCATAATTTCGAGATAAGGGTATTGCAGAATCATAACATTTACCTCATGTTCTAACACAATCTTGACATGTTCAGATCATCAATGTAATTATTGAGGTGGTATTCTTACATTGCTTGAGGTCAGTACCATAATGTACTCTCTAAGCTGACCTTCAATTACCAGACATTCCATGACATGACATTACCATAGTCATTGGTTCTTCAAAAACGCTTTATCAACACTAGTGATATTGAAGTTCCCTATTAGAGTCTGCCTTCCCTCTATCTTTTTCATACATGACCTCAAGAAGCCACTGCAAATATATATCAAAGTATGGTGTATATATAATATATATTATATACTATAATATGTATAAAGTTCATTGTAGTGATATCTGATGAAGTCATGATCACTGTGGCTGTGACCTACATCTCCACGAAAACAAGCTTTTTTAGCTCGTATGCAGACGGTGACTTTTACTGGTGTCTCAAGATACTTCAATAAATTATGGCAGAGTAGACTATAAACATGTGTGTTCCAAACAAAGATAATGACAATTATCTTGACCATTTTTTAGGTTATGCTTTTTTCAAACATTTCCTAACTACTTCATCAGATTATATTTTTCATCAGAACAGAACATTAAAACACAACTTTCAATATAATGGTATGAATGTTTATGCTCAAAAAGACCTTAGAAGAAGCTACTTCTTGTTTAACTAATTATTAATTATTTAGAATATAAAAATATTCAGCTCATCGGGGTGAATAAAAATGCCAACCTGTCCGTAATATCAAAATCTTTGAAGTTCATAGTGTTTATTTAAATACCACTCAGCACATCCTTGTTAAAAACATTACCCGACCTGTGCACAGTCCACTGTTTCTCTTCTTCTGGATCAAAGGTTTACAAGAAAGTACAGCAATACAATTTTCATCTCTCAAATAAAAGTGTGTAATCTAAATAACAAAAGCCTAGTCTTCTTTTGGAAACAAGGTGAATAAGATGTTAAAAAACAAAAAATATCTCTCACGGAAATATTTATTCAACAGTTAATAAATAAAAGTACAAGTAGTAGCGATTTATGAGCAGTAACTACCTTCTCAAAATAATTCCCAACAGAATCCTATTGAAATAACAACGCGATTAAAACATTTAGAAGAATGGCACTTCCACAGAAACCATAAATTATATTACTCAAATATGCTTGTATACTGTGAAGTTGTTAGACACTTTAATATCACGTCAATCGTGTATTTATTTTAATAGGATGAGAATACTTCACTATAGGTAGAGCTACTTGTCAAACCTATGATAACATTATAAATTAAACATTTACAAAACAATTTTTCATGTTCAATAAGTTTAATTTCTTGTAAATATCTTCAAATTTATTTCACAAAATAGATAAAAATTATATACATCAAGCATAAAACCTAATATTTCCATCAAAATTACGTTACATGCTCAATCCATTTTTTTGGGGGGGGGGAACATAATAGCGTTGACCATTTTTTCAGGTAATCAACATTATTTTTTTTAAAAATTAGAATCTATACATTCAGCAATTAAGCAGGGATTAGTATTTTCCTGTTGCACAACATGATAACAAACTGTACGAGTCTGTCCATGCATTATATTATAATCTTCACAATTCATCTTCATTCAACAACATATTGGGAATTCCCTGGCTAATAGGAAACTTCCTCCCAGATTCTGGACACACAAGATCGCCATTTATGATCTCCACCTAAAAGAAATCATAGTCTTTAGATCATAACATCTATTCCTCTTCAAAATGTATTCATACATTCTTAAAATAATACTAATAATAAAAAACTTAAAAATGTCTGTTATTTTGTTTAACTCTTGGAAAAAGATCAATTAGATACAAACGATACAACATAAAAAGCCTTTCAAGGAACGAATTTTATTGAAATAAGAATAACTACCGACTGCAATTGAAGCAGGACTAGCTAAACTTTTCCCGCACTGCCCAGGTTATAAAAAAAAACAAGCATAACAATATAAATTGACAATAAAATATAAACTTTGGGGTAATTAGTTACTGGCCTTCTCAGACACACACTCACCCTCCAATCGGTGGTGTCTCATGAGTTCATGGAGCTTAGTTAAGTAATTCAACTAACTTCATTTGCTACTACTGACTATTGCAATTTCATCACAACCAACCAACACACATTTAAGTAAACAAATACAAAATAAAATTAAAGTAAATTGCAAAGTTGTTTTCCAAATTTACTACACGTTATTCATTCATCATTACTTTATTACTAAAACAATCATTGAAGAAAAGGTGTTTCCAGTAATGATTACACGGGTGTGAAACCCTTAATTCTTAAGGGTTTGGGGGCGGATGCTTGGAAGCACTATATACATACTTGTCAATACTTAATGTATTTCAGTTCGAGTAATGAAAATAAGTATTTCATAATAACTGAATTTAAAAATATTCCCTCAAAATACCTACTGGACAGATTTTTTTAAACCTTTAAAAGTTTTTCCTAAACCTCAAATGAGTACATTCATTTAACAAATTTTGAATGCACAAAATTTATATATTTTTTGTTTTGTCAATGGGCACTACAACCCTATTTTAGAATAAATTCTTATCTATCACATCTTTTTTAACAATAATTTCTGAGTCTTCTAGTTTACAAGTTTCAGTATGCAATCAAAAACGATAAAGAGTTTTGTGTACAGTTCTATTGATGCATAATCTTTCCTTGTATATACAGTTATACTTTTTGGAAAGCACCAATGTAAACACTGCAAGGAAAATTTAATTGATTGATTAATTAGAGATTCTAAGCACATCAACGTCTAAAGTCATTAGTCCCATAAGTCTAGTGTGTGTTTTATCAGAGAGATTGCGGTGATCTTCCTGACCATCTAGCGCTGACTTACACATCAGTGAGCAGGGTTTTCCCAAACCAGGTGGGCACCAGCAGGGCACTGACCCAGCTGGGACAAGCTCTAAGGTCCCAAGAGGTATTCTGGCACAAGCAAGTGTGAGGGGGTGAAGATGAGGAAGGAAAGATCACATACAATTCGTAACCTGTTTGAGGTCATGCTCCTGTTTGCCTGGATTGATTCGAGAAATCATGGAAACTATTCAGAGCAGCAGGCAGCTAGGATTCTCCGTCAGTCAACGGCTGATATTCCTGCCACCATCAGGACTCAAAACCATAGGTCCCAGTCAGAAGCATCACAATGACTCAATTGAAGCCCTGAGCCACCTAAGCCAGTTCAAATGAAGCAAAGATGAGGTATGATATTCGAATAAGTCTTGCCAAGTGTCACAAAAGTCTCTAGGTATCTCCCAACAGCATGGCACTGTCCAGCTGGGACAAGCTCCAAGTTCCTAACTCACTTCTTGGCATGTAAGTAAAGGGTGAGGCTAGGTTAGGGAAGTGGAAGGAAAGACCATGCATGGTGCATGATCCATTTGTTACAAGTCTGTTCAGGCATTTGCCTGGGATAATTGGTGAAACCACGGAAACCTATTGCTCTGAGTGACCATCTGCTAGAATTCTCCTCCATACAGTGGCTGAATTTCACCTGTTTATTAAGCTTGTGTTGAAAATCTTGCTATCATTGGAACTCAAACCTTTGGCACTCCCAGTCAGAGGCATTGCAATGACATCAATTGATGCCCTGAGCCATCAAAGCCAGTGGAAAGTGGACTATTTCTATGTGATTCCAAAATTAATATTCCTCGTACCTCCAAGAGAACATGGTGAACTTTTTTAAGAAACTCCTCATTATTTTCATAATCCTCCATAAGCTGTTGGGGTAAATCTCCTGAGTGACCAATCTGCAACAACAAAATGATGGATATTAAATATAAAATGTTACAGAACAAACATACAATTAGGGAAAGCAGGAGAAAATACATTTTCACTTACACTATCAGCCGCTTTCCATAAAGCATTCCAATCTAATTTGGGGATAATTCTAGAAACAAATTCAGAATTAAATTCAGTCTCTGATACCTTAATATCTTTTGCCTAAAAAAAAAAAAAAGAAATACAGATAATAATTATCATAATCTTCATAATAAATGAAGAATACACGGATTTCTACGTGAGATAAATTACAACGAACGGTATGAAATGCAATTTCTTAAAACGCATTACATTGCCAAACTACCGCAACTTTTCTGGTAAGAGACAACTTACAACAATTCCAAGGGGATAGCCCACTGTCACTCCTTTCATACATTTCGAAGTGAGCATGTTATGCGTCAAGAGCTTCATATTGTGAACAGCGCAACGAAATACCATAAACACATTAGCTCTTTAACTGGCTCCCACTGGCTCCTAAACAAATCCAAACACCGCACCAATACCGACAAGTGCTACGAGTTTACACAAACAAACATGCATTGTACCAAAGAGTATGCATTGTACCGAAAATATTCCATCGATAAATTGCACATGTTTACCAACATACTCCCATATATGTAATCATGTAACCAACATTGAAGGTTATAGGTGCTCTCCAAAACTAGTGACTTTTACCTATTAGGAGCATTGAGTAGAGATATATTGTATCTCTCCTCTATGATTAGGAGGGCAGCACCGTCGCCTCTGGGTGGCAAGCAACAGGCTGCTACAACAGAAACAAAAGTCATGAGCTGATGGATAAAACCACGGCATCCTTTACTATAGGCCATGACATTCGATTTGGCAACAAGTCTGCAGAGCAGGTGTTCTACTCCGGTCACAAATTTTCAATGGTTTCCACATTATTTCCGTAATATTCCGCTATGTACGAATTTTTCTCTGCAGAACGTCTTGACGCAACAGTAATTAATTTTAAACCGTCAGCCATTAGATAAATCTTGTATTGCAAAATTGTATTTTGGACTTCTTTTGTAGACATTCAAAATAAAAATGAGAATTTAATAAATGGAAACTAGTGGTGGTACAGAAGGGCACAGATTTTCCCGTATTAGTTTTCTATTTTCTTTGGACTCGGCTAGCTATTCGAACTTGCCACATACTCTTGCCACCTGCCATCTATCGCCACCCAAAGTACATTTTTTTTTAAAAAAAAATCTCATTTTTTTCGGTTTCCTAAATCTATAGTATGATTTATTTAGTCGTGCACTTGACGTAAACCACTTGCGGTTTCATCCAACCGGGAGGTTATATGTCGCTACAGTGACGTATAGGAACGATGAAGTTCCCGATTGGATGAAAGCGTGAACAGCTGATTTACGTCAAGTTCATGGTAGTATGCACGGCATCCTAGTATAGAATGGAAATATTATTTTAAGAATATTAAACAACAGTAAATCCTCGTTCTAAATGGCAATTTTCTTTGAAAAATTTTGAGTCGTTTTTAAGAAAACGGCGTTTAAGCGCAACTATAAATTTAAAATTTGAAGCACTTTTTCACAGAAATGTTTGAAGTTTTTGAAAAACTTCATTGTAAGTCATTTGAAGAACTTTAACTCATAAATACAATAGTGTTTACAAATTGCTGGAAATGTGCATATTAACGCCGTGAGAGGTCTAAAAAAATACATTTGTGTAATTTTTGAAAAAAAAAGCGGACTTAACGCCATTTTAAAGAGGGCAATTAGCACAATCCGTTAAAAAAGTTTAAAAAATACACTTTTGTAAATTTTGAAAATAAAAAAATATTAGAGCAACTCAAAATATGGCGTAAATGGCATCTCGGAGAGTGCATTTTGCACTATCCCTTGCTAAAGTTTAAAGAAAAAATTTGGAGCCGTTTTTGAGAAAATTTTGTTTGTGTTATTGTTTAAAATTGCGAATATTGCTGACAGTATTGTACGAAAATTAATAAAACTTTCAAGAAATGACCTGAATTAAGTCCATGATCTTAATGAAAGAACTCACTGTGGAGAACACATTTTAATTGAAGGAAGAATCTCTATCTTCAGTTTTGTAGTTGTAGGAAAATGCCGAAAAAAATTCAAAATTTTGAAAATTTCGAAAATTTAGCGTTAGCCCTGACCCAACGCTACATTTATAAGAGTATTTTACTCTATTCTTACAATTAATTTAAAAAGAAATAATTGAGTCGTTTTTGCTCGAGGTATCTCATGTGATGAATATTCACCTGCTTCAGTCATTTCTTTAGATTTTTTGGAGAAAATCATCACAGAAAATATTCTCTTCAACAGAAAATAGTTTCTATTTCGTTCCAGTGATGATGTGTTTGGAATGTCATCAGTGCTCGCTGCGAGATTTTGCCTTCAACTGTAACTAAGTCATGCGCTTATAATCTTTCTTGTTATCCCCAAATGATTTTAATATTAACTTTTATTATGAATCGTATTTTAAATATCGTTTGCTTGGCAAGTTTTAATGAACATTTGATGCTATTTATTGCAATACAATAGGGGCTTGATAGCCCTGGCGACAGAAGAAAACAGTTGATTTGGTGACCTATGTAATATTGGGTATAGCTTTTACACAAATAAAGTCTTGAAGAAGATGGCGTAGCTTTTACCCAAATAAAGTCTTGAAGATCCACAACATTTTAGTAGCTCATACATATTATGATGCTATGTTTGTACAACACGTTCAGGCAATGCAATTAAATTATTATTTACAATATTTAGGGTTTTGTTCGTTAGTGAGTTGTTTATATTATAGCAAACTTGTAGTAAATCTACATACGTTTCCTCGGGAAACATCTAAGAGTAACAGGGGAATGTTTAAACGTGTAAATTAGGAATTACGAAGATGAGCGAAATCTGTAACCTACAATTGACTTGAAATAACCATCTAACTTTTCTTGCTTCAAAAGAAAAACGTACTTTTGTCCTCTTTGTTCCGAGGGACATATAATTTTACATTCATACTTTTTTGGGAACAGTGGGGCATCTAAAAAAGCTTACTGTGTCTTCCCTTTTGCCACTTTGGCCCCTTTTGCCACTGTGCACCATCGAACAGAAGTTTGTTATCGTAAAAATACAACTTTATTTTAGAAAGAAAATAACATCTCACTGCGAGAAAATATACCTAAACAAAACGAAAAAAATCTAAACCGTTATAGGAAGAGGAAAGCCTCCAACGAAGAATGACCACAATATTTTAAAAGAAAATTGACACTTATGTCGCGTTTTATCCGTAATCTGCCATCCAGAGGTGTCGGCGCTGTTCTCCGAACTAAGTCACGTGCTCTGGACGTCTCTAAAGTAAGTTACAGGTTCAGTCCATCTTCGTAATTTGCAATTCACACGTCCAAACATTTTCCTGTCATCCTCAGAGATGTTTCACGCAAAAAGTATGTAGCTTTTCCACTTTTAACAATAACATAAACAACCCATTAAAGGCAGCTTTCAATAACTAAGTTATCATTTCTTGTAGAATTGGAATTAGACTTAGTATAAGGTACTTTTACAATCTGGGAGGTAAGAGATCCTATAAATTATTTTTACAGACAATCTCGTCATATCATTCGCAAAAAGTTTCGGGAATATATTTTCCCCATCATCAGACCAAAAAAGTTAAAGGTTTAGATTTAGATTTATTTAGTCAAAAAACAGTGAAAACTGTATGTGACGTAGGAGGAAGAAGATTATATGCGCACAGTTTTCTTGAGTTCCAGAATCCCTTCCCGTCATTTTAACGATAAATAGTTGAAAGATGAGTAAAAGTTTAACACAAATGAATAAAAATAAATTTATAAATCGCAAGATTAGCAGTATTTGAAAAATACTAATTTTTGTTCTCGAGTTATAGAAAACGTATTTGCATCGGTACATGAATAGCAACTCGCCCTTACCCCTACTCTTACCATTACCAGCAAAAGGAGAGTTCAACAAAACGTGTGCATAGTGAAGCTACATTTATGATCTGGGCTGTCCGGGTGACGCCGCGTCGATGGCTGATGAGCCGACGTTTCGACCGACATGTCGCATGGGAAACCGGCCATGATTTCCTTTTCGACAAGACCGAGGTGCTTACCAGAGAAGATAGGTGGTGGCCAAGACGAATAAAAGAAGCATTGGAAATTGCTAAACATCCCCAGAACATCAACGGGGACACGGGATTACGTCTCCACTAGGCGCGGCTTGCACCATTACAAAGTGCGCGGTCGCGGGAGACCGCCCCTCCGGACAGTACTTCTACGTCCGATGTCCGATGCACGCCGTCCGATCCACGCACTTCCCGTCCGTCCGATCGCCCGCCTCCTTTCACCCTCCACCCGATTGAGAAGCGCTTGAGTGTTTATATAATCTTATCTCTCTTCCGAGAAAACACGGACGTTCTCTTTTACACTGCGCCAATAAGCGAAATCTTTAGCGATATCGCTTGCGTGCAGTTCCGCCGTTCGAACGGGCGCCGCCTCGCTGCCATTGGCTGCCACCGCTGTTGGTTGTGCGCCAGTGGCGCGTGCGGTCAGCAGCATACCATTGGCCTGTGCCTCCTCACACCTCTGCACGCGAGTAAACGGGAGAGGAGCTTCGAGCTGAGCTAAAACACCTCAATGCGAGGAAGGCAGGTGCCCGGACGGTCTCACGCAGAAACAGCTGCGCGCTCTGGGCGGGCGCGGGTCGAGTTTTTACTCGAGCTCCTGAATGCGTGCCTGGCGTGTGGCTATTTTTCCCAAGCGTGGAGGATTGCGACCATTGCACTAATACAAAACTGGCAAAAATAAACTATTCCGGAGCTATGAAGTATTAGTCTACTCTCCATCCTAGGGAAAACGTTTGAGAGACTGATCCTGTCACGTTTTGCAACAGGAAATCCGTCGTCTCAATCTTCTCAGAGATGAACAATTTGGCTTTCGAGCTGGTCACAGCTCCGGCAGCAGCTTACGCGGCTTTGCACGGGATCGGCCTCGCCCTCGAGAGACGCAGAACCTGCCGTGGTCTTTCTGGATATGCGGTCGGCTTTCGACTCTGTGTGGCATGCGGGTTTGCTTGAGTGCCTTGCGGTGGCGGGAGTGGAGCGATTTGCTACGTCAGACTGATCGCGAGTTTTTCTCTCTGGCAGGCAAAGTTCAAAGTGCGCGTCAATAACGTTACTCGTCCCTAGACGGCCGAGGCAGGCGTGCCTCAGGGAGTGTCTTTCTCCTACCCTCTTCGGATTATACGTGAATGACGCGCCGCTTTCCTGCTGAAACAAGAACTGGTATTCAACGCTGCGGGCTCCTGATGTCGCGGATGATTTCGCGTACTACGCGAATCGGCGAACGGAAGGCGTCAGTTAAATACTTAAGTGATTGTCTCGCCGCCTTTCCTGAATGGCTAAGTCGGAAACGCCTCGCTCTCAACCTCGAGAAATGCGTCGCGTCACTTCACTCGTAAGAGGGCAAACCCCATGAATACAGTGAGCTTGGCTGGCACGCATCTACCTTGGCGGAGCGAGCGAGATATTTGGGCGTGCTACTTGACAGCGGCCTTCGCTGCATGCCGCACGCTCGGTATCTCGCTGCGAAAATTAAAACCGCACCCTCCTTTTGAAACCTCTTTCTCCGTTCGCCCGATTTAGCATTCCTTACCTAAACGCCGCTTATTCACAGCTGGCGTGCGTCCCTTGTGGGCGTACGCTTGTGCGGTATTCGC